TTGGGACAATGAGAGATTGAGTGCAAATTACCATTTAGGGAAGCAGGATGGGTCTAAAGCCAAAAGCAGTGAATTAGAAATTAGAAGTCCCAGGATAAGCTCACAGCCAATATTAACAAGCCATGGAGCCTCGGCAAAGATAACATTTTTGAGGCCTCTTACCTCCACCCTGGGTTAAAGTATGTAAAATGCCAAGTAAGAACAGTGGCTTGCATACAGTAAGCACTCTGTAACTATATACTAATTGTTGCTTATGTTTTAAAATTATATACTATTTAATACATACATATGAAGCATAATAAGATAAATACCAGGAGGGGCGCCTGGGTGGCTCAGTCAGTTAAACGACTGCTTTCAGCTTGGGTCATGATCCCAGGATCCTGGGATTGGGTCCCCGCGCTGGGCTCTCTGCTCAGCAGGGAGCCTGCTTCTCCCTCTCCCTCTGCCTGCTTGTGTGCTCTCTCTCTGTCAAATAAAATCTTTAAAAAAAAAAAGGCTAAATACCACGAAAGCTACCATCCAACTTACGGAACAGAATATTAATACACTGTGTTTTTTCCTGGTCCCATCCCCCCGGCTTCTCCCCTGAAGATAACCACTGTCTTGAATTTTGCGTTTATAATTTTTTTTTAATTTTAAAATTTTATTTATTTTTTTAAGATTTTATTTATTTGACAGAGAGAGACACAGTGAGAGAGGGAACACAAGCAGGGGGAGTGGGAGAAGGAGAAGCAGGCTTCCCGCTGAGCAGGGAGCCCGATGCGGGGCTCGATCCCAGGACCCTGGGATCATGAACTGAGCCGAAGGCAGACGCTTAATGACTGAGCCACCCAGGCGCCCCTATAATTTTTTTTTAAATGTTATGTCTCACATTTGTACAGGGCCTGTTTTTCTTTTAATTTTTTTTTAAACATATAACGTATTTGTTTCAGGGGTACAGGTCTGTGATTCATCGGTCTTACACAATTCACAGCGCTCACCACAGTACATACCCTCCCCAATGTCCATCACCCAGCCACCTCATCCCTTCCAGCCCCCTCCACTCCAGCAGCCCTCAGTTTGTTTCCTGAGATTAAGAGTCTCTTATGGTTTGTCTCCCTCTCTGGTTTCGTCTTGTTTCATTCTTCCCTCCCTTCCCCTATTATCCTCTGTCTTGTTTCTCAATTCCTCAGATCAGTGAGATCATATACTTGTCTTTCTCTGATTGACTTATTTTGCTTAGCATAACACCCTCTAGTTCCATCCACGTCGTTGCAAATGGCAAGATTTCATTTTTTTGATGGCTGCATAATATTCCATTGTATGTATATACCACATCTTCTTTCTCCATTCATCTGTTGATGGACATCTAGGCTCTTTCCATAGTTTGGCTATTGTGGACATTGCTGTTATAAATATTGGGGTGCATGTGCCCCTTCGGATCACTACATTTGTATCTTTGGGGTAAATACCCAGTAGTGCAATTGCTGGGTCGTAGGGTAGCTCTTATTCTCAACTTTTTTTTTTTTAAAGATTTTATTTATTTATTTTTTAGAAAAGCGAGCGAGAGAGAAACAGCATGAGAGGGGAGAGAGTCAGAGGGAGAAGCAGGCTCCCCGCCGAGCCGGGAGCCCGATGTGGGACTCGATCCCAGGACCTTGGGATCATGACCTGAGCCGAAGGCAGACGCTTAACCATTTGAGCCACCCAGGCGCCCCTATTTTCAACTTTTTAAGGAACCTCCATACTGTTTTCCAGAGTAGGGCTGTTTCTTCATATGTTAAGATGAAGCTTTGGATTATGTGCTCCCTAAGCTCCCTTCCAGCCCCAAGGGTATATGAGATATGATGGGTGGGCATCAAAGTTACATACCTAGTGGAACCATATAATAAATGCTTATTTTTCAAGGGTTTTATAGAGCTAAAACACTGACTCTTCTGTTGAAATCTCCAATTCAACAAAGGGGTATCTCAATGGAGTTTTTAATCTCAAGATCAAGACTTTCCATCACTTTCAATTTGCACCTCTGCTAGAAAGTTCTACTCTAGAGAAAACCAACACAAGGAGCTAAATAAGCTAAGCCCCTGACCCTGTCCAGTGAAAACCTGAAACCCAAGCCTGAGGAAATAGAACTGAAACAGTTGAACTAGGAAAACATATTTATTTCGGTGACAAGTATTTTAATAAAAATGAGGAGGCATGGCTGGGTTCATATGCAACTTTTCATATAACCTGGATTTATTTCCTCCATACAATTGTGTGTGTGCATATATAAAATAAAGCTAAACTTGTCTTTTTCATGTTTCCTCAAAGATTCTTATGCTATTTTAGTTTTTATATAAAACAATCTTTAAATAAGGTAAACACAAATGCAAATCTGCTGACCATATGGTTGATCTCCAGGGTTACTGTTGGCCTTAGGATGCTATTTTTCCTAGCTATAAACAATCTGAACTTTTATATTTGTCTCACCAGTTACCAAGTTTATAAGTTAAGTGAGTCGGACCAGGCAGTGGAATTGCTGTGTAAAGGGCAAATGCCCTGTTCATACACACCTGAGACTGGGTATGGGTAACAGGTTCACGTGTCTTCAGTGGCCTCTCAAGAGGCCATGGCTGTAAAGTAGGATGTGAATATGTTCTGAACCTTAATGGTACCAGGAAGACAGTGATCAAAAGAATGAGCAGTCACTACAGTATTTTTCTCATGGTATATAGGTAGTTTTCCTTATTCTACTCACGGAATTGGCACAAGAAAACAAATATTTTCTTAAAGGTTTCCTTTCCAAGGCCAGTCCTGCTTCAATCATTTTAAATTTAGTATACAAATCGCCTTGATTTTTATAACCTGTCTCTTTAAAAATGGCAATAATAAGCATAATGTTATCTCCTCAGTTTCTGCCTACTTTGGAGCTTAATATGAGCTGGGCACAGTAAAAACTACAGGACCCCAAGAATGCCAATATATGTATATCCATTTTGTTTGACATTAGGACTAACACAAGGAGCTACCACTCTGCCTCCACAATGAAAGAATACTGCAGTGCATTATTTGAAATTAAATCCAGATACTCTCCGTGTTTAGCTCAGGTACAGCTACCAGGAGAGCTCAGCATCATTTTAACCTACATGTGTTTATTCCTGGTGAGAACATTTGCAAATCACAATGGCACTTCCAGAACCCCTACAGAGAAAGGCAATCTTCCAAAAAAGCAAATCCTCTCCTTGGGGTAGAGTGTAGAGGCCCTGGATAAGATCGAAATGCAGGCCTCAAAGGCTCTCTGGGCTAAGCTTTTGAAACACCTCTGCTTTTAACCTTTACCCATTAACACTTGACTTTAACTGAAATTAAAGAATATTCAGCTGCTTACCTGTCCACATTCCAAAGGGAAGCATTCTCTGAAAAAAAGGGTCTTACAGGTAAGCTTCTCCTCCCCAATTCTGACGGACCTATAGTCACTTCTTTATTCTAGTTTTTGGGAATCTCCAAAAATCACCAGCAAACTAAATCCAGACTAGTGAATTCTAGGCCCAATAAATACCCCAAGCAGTCTCAGAAAGCTCCTGGACCAGACAAATTGGCTGCTTTAATCATTAGTTTACTGAAGAAACCACAGGGTTTATTTTGTGAGCTAACAAAATTAACGCAGGTAGGCATTCTCCTACTCATACTCGAAATGGTTAGATGTTTTGTGATTTTGTGGTTTCTATTTAATTCCTTTGTTGAGTTGTATTCATGCACCTAATTCTTTGCAATGAGACTCACAACCTTGCTTGTTTTACCTAAACTAGGTAGGAGTTCTGGGTTACAAGTGTAGTATAAGAGTTTTGTTCTGTTATCACCCAAATGAAATCAAAAGGGTTTTGTATTTTCTAGTAATAAGACTATTAAATAACCTTAAGTTGGTGTATTGATTGATACACAAATAATCAGAATTAGTGGCATAATGGGTGTTTTCCCCCCTTCAATACATTATCACCCTCTCCAGAGGAAATGGTCTAGTTATTCTCTTAAGATCACACAGCTAGAAGCAGAAATACCATTGTACTGGGGCTATCTTGGACCCGTTTTTAGGGACTGCAACTAAATAAACAGCTCTGCTTCTATTAGGAGAGAATCCTGTTTCGTGTAAATATCATGAAAGAAGGCATTCCACAAGAGCCCACTCTTCCTTATCTGTTACTCACAAAAAATGTTACATGGATCATTTTTGAAATTATCACTATGCTTCATCCAAGTCCTTATCTATACCAGATCCCCAGTCCCTCTCCCTGCCAGACAGATTTAGAACCAAACCAAACCAAACCTGAAAAAAACCAACCAACCAACAAAAACACACACACACACACACACAAATGCACAGATATAAACAAACAAAAAACTGGTCTGGGGAGATTATGAAGTTTCCTTGTAAGGGCCAACAAAATGCTAGGCTAGCCAGAGCCTTGGGTGTTTCAGAAATCTGACTTCTTATACACACATTCCAGGAGAGTCAGCAGGGCCATCACACATTTAAGCTTTGAAGCTTAATCAAATTTCACACATAGGTGGAAAGCCTCTCTCTTCTCCACACATACAATTGTTCCTCTCTTCCATTCCAATCTTCACTCCTACATAATCTACACCTGGCTTGACATTGACAGCTAGTACAATTTCTAGCTGGAATGTGGGAGAGAAACAAAAGAAACCTACTCTAGGTTGGAAATATTCAGGGAGCAAGGTGTTCTACAGATTCTAAACAAGATTGGGGTGTTTTGCTATCTAAATGCTACCAATGTCTTGAAGACTCTGGATAAGGAGATGCACTGATCAAAAAAGGACCATTCCTATAAATTTTAAAAGGAATCTGATCTATGTGTATCAGAGAACACAAATACACTGTTACTTTTTCCAACCCAAGTTTCTTGCCTGCTTTAGCTGGATCCTTTAAGATAACTTTAAATAATTATGTTTCATTAATGTGAAATGGGATGTGATTTCTGATCTTGGGGCTGCAGGTACTTAACCAAACTATCAAGCTATCTAGGTTGATGCTTTATTTGAAACAGTTCTGAGTTTGAGGGCTGTCCGCAGCCCTCGAACTCATTTGTTGCATCAAATGAGTGAAGACTCAAAGCATGGAGGAAAAAAAAAGGTACTTGTCAGTTTGAAAGTCACAGACAGTTTATGTTTCTATAATTAGATTAGGAGGAAAAAACCACGAAGAACCCATTGGTAGCAGGAAGAAGCAAGAGTCTTCTAGAGTCTGGCATCTGCAAGGAAATGAAAGAAAAAAAAAGAGTTCTTAGTTCCTTTCAGTGACAAAAACACCAACTACATCTGATAATAGGCCACACAACTACAACCTGATTAACATCTCTTGGTCAGCTGGAAGGATCTGATATTGTTAATGGCAGAACACCAAGTACCTTCTGACCCTTAGCTCTTCAGTACCACTTAGCACACAGAAACTTGTTAATTGAATCAAAAACATTCTACATAGAGCTCACTGTATACTGCTTGTATCCACAGTTTCATGAGTGAGCAGAAAATCAGAATTGACTATCCATACAATTGACCTCTCCAGACAATTCTGGATTAATTTCAATTAACTTATATTGATCTTTTTCTCTTCTCATATGTTCTATCTATTCATTAATTCAGTAATATTTTTTGAGCTGTTACAACATACATTGGGGGAATAAAAATTAATACGGTATCACCTGCTTTGAGATACTTATCTAGTAAAAAGTAGATTTGTTGATAAAAACACAAGATAAAGCATATCAAGTGCAAGGTGAACAAACCCTCTTCATGTATATGCATTCAAGAAAATCTCCACCCACACTTAAGTTCCTTAAGGGGATAAGTCCTATCTTCTATTTCTTTTGTATCTTTCCAAAGAAGCTAGAGAATTCTGTAACAACCGGCATTCAAAAAATGATACTTTATTAAGAGGATAAAAAGGTTTGTGGCTGTTTAAGGATTGTTACCTAACCTAGGATAATTTTTCTCTCCTGATTCCTCAGGGGTTATAAAGAAAAATACATTTTTAGCATGTAAGGGGTTTAATAGCAAAGAGTTAAGTTCACAAGGAGAGAAGGTATCTAGTCTTAGGTGTCAGAGATAGAAGCTTCTCCTAGGCTTTCACCTTAATTTTTTTTTTTAAAGATTTATTTATTTGAGAGAGAGAGAGAGAGAGAGAGAGAGAAAGAGAGACCATGCACACACGTGCGAGCGGGGACAGGGGCAGAGGGAGAGGGAAGCTGACTCCCCGCTGCGCAGGGAGCCTGAAGCGGGGTGATCCCAGGACCCTGAGACCATGACCTGAGCCAAAATCAAGAGCTGGCTGTTTAACTGACTGAGCCACCTAGAGTAACTTTTTTTTTTTCTTGTAATCTCTACACCCAATGTGGGGCTCAAACTCACGACCCCAAGATTAAGAGTCGCATGCTCTCCCAACTGAGCCAGCCAGATGCCCCTGGACCATTTTTATTATGTAGCAATCCGTACTGTATGAGAACCAAGCATCTTGTGCAGTGTGTCAGAAGGATTCAAAGTTCACCATTCATCCAGGTGGTGTGTGTTTTCCTGACACACCCCAGTGCTGTTGTGTCTCATTCCCTTCTGGGGCCAAATCCAATTTTCTGGTTTCCACATGTATTTAACAATTTGACATCAAAACCTACCAAGAGGGGCACCTGGGTGGCTCAGGCGTTAAGCGTCTGCCTTCGGCTCAGGTCATGATCCCAGGACCCTGGGTTCGAGCCCCACATCAGGCTCCCTGCTCAGCGGGAAGCCTGCTTCTCCCTCTCCCACTCCCCCTGCTTGTGTTCCCTCTCTCACTGTGTCTCTCTCTGTCAAGTAAATAAATAAAATCTTAAACAAAACAAAACAAAACAAAAACTTACCAAGAAAAATCGCTAGCACCTAGAAGCAACACATAAATATTATCGTCCATAGCTAAGGGGTGTTTGCTTTTGGAATCTCTTTTCTGCTTCTCACCAGAAGAAACATCAGTTTTGGCACAAAATGAACCCTAACTCACAGGAGATCCATCTGCTTCACTGTCCAGAGGAAGCGAATGAACTGGAAGGCAAGAGGCCAATTACTCACTCTTAAAGAAATATTCACAGAGGGCCTACTATCTGCAAGACAGTGGGGATATAGTCTCATTCCTAGCTTAATAATATTCCTTTTGGCAGGAGCAATATGGCTGGGCAACCTCAGCCAAAACAGCATTTGAAGAATCAAATTTGGCTCTGCCATAGGCATATAGGGTTACCTCAGGAAAGGCTTCATCTGTAAAAAGTAAAATATTTTAGTCTGTTCATAGAGATTTTGTGAGATTCTGCTAAATCAAATATTCAGATAAGATCAACAGTGCAAGCTTCTTAGAGACCCCAAACTTTTAACTGCTCATTAAAAAGAGTATGAATTTTTTGCTGAGTGTTAAACTGTACTGCACAGGGAAAGAATCGCAGAGCAGTGAAGCACAGCTGTCTGATTAATCTCAGTCCATTAAAAAGGCATGATAGATCTCGAATGCAACTTTGCTAAAAAAAAAAAGAAAAAGAAAAAAGGAAAAAGGCAATGTGTACTAACGTTAGGGAAAGCAACATGGCATGTTAACAGGATTCTAATTTAACAAGTAAATGCCTATTCATTAGCGTGTAGAGCCATAACAGAAGCTATATACTTAAAAAATACAGGCACACACAAAGCTTTAATTTGGTACCATAATCTGAAGGAAAATTGGACCCAAATTGCTTTATGTCCAGTTAAATCTTGCTACCATCTGAAGAGAGAGTGAAATAAAACTGAAACACTTACTTGATGAGCTATTCAGTTACTGTGCATTTCCATCTATAGAGTAGAAATATTTCAAAATAAATACACCATGACAATTGAAATTCACTCCTTCCCCTGTTCTTACTAAACACAAATGACTTATTATTCTTGGGGTATACTGAATTACAATATAAAAGTGGAAGAATTTAAAATTAGTGATTGGATTCTATTCAAGAGCATGGGAAAAGAATAGTATATTACCTCTCTAGCCTTCAGGCATATGATGTGGTGAATTCATTTTTTTGGGAAATGCAAGTATCCAAAGGGAAATGTTTTAAAGGGAATCCTCTAGCCACCTAAAAAATTAGCTCAAATAGTAGCAAAGACTGACATCAAGGGAATCTGAATTTGGGGGCAACATTAGGAAAGTCTGTATTAAATAAAAATGATAGTATCTTGGGTGTTCCCTATGTGGGAATTTATCAGGGTGATATGATATGAATTTAGTACCTATTTACTCGGCACGGTTTCTGATGTCTAGGGAAGACATCAGAATACTATTCTTATGCTAGTTCCTATAACTTATTACTTTCGTTTTCTTTCTACTCATTTCCTTTTAGGTCTCTGCAATCCAATTTCTAAGCCCAATTTCTACTGATATTATGCCTTGAGTGTCAGGGATGACTTCCTCCTGCCCAGTGTCAGTAGCCTTTTTATTGGTCTCCAAATTTACCCAAAGTATTTGATGTCAGTGGTCATCCCAACTTGAAAATATTCTTTTGGTTTCTGCGATCTTGTACTTTCTTATTCATGATTTCCTGTTACTAACCAGGGCCGGGCCTAGGGTGTAGGGAGTGAGGTGCTCAGAATGCAAAATTTAAGGAGGCACTCAGGGTCATGTGAGTGTAATGTGTTCACACTGACTATGTCCCTGAATAATCAAGACCAACTGTATTTAGCACAACAAAAAGAGTAAAAACATTTTGCCTTTATTTCACTTACTGTTTTTCCATGGCAGAACATATGGCAGAGACTTGGGAACACGCATGCCTGAAGCCAGGTTACTCTTAGGTTCCATAACTATGTTGCTTGCAGGGCTGCAAAAACAAAGACAAATCTGCGTATGCCAGCATATCTGTATTCTTTAGGCAGGCACACACAAGACAATCAAAATGTGTGTTTTGTAATTTGGGAGGAAACAGCAAACTACATTCTGAAATGTAAACACATTTCCATCAAAACATTCTTGCAATTAGAATGATTACTACTTCTCTGAAAAGCTCACTGTTCTGTACAAGCATTAAGATGGGTCTAACCATTTTCATTTTCCAGAAATTGAGATAAACAGCAATGCCATCTACTGTTCAGTTATATGACAGGCTCATCAACTCACTCAATAAATGTAAGAGAAAAAATAAAATGCCAAGACAACCAAACCAAAGGCAACAAATCTCATAGAACTGAGGTAAAATTAAAATTGTACTATTATGATTCATCTTTAAGTTTTTCTATTTTAGTGCACACACAAAATAAGGTACATGTACAATTACTAACTTATCTTAGGAGCTAAGAAAAATTGACAAGCATTCTATTTGGGGAAAAATGAAGTCTTAACATCTCATTCCTTCATTTTCTAATCCATAAATATTCTCATTTCTGAATATCTGAAACTTGATCTTCTAAGGTTTGAAGATGAAGCAGTAATGAGAAATCTCATAGATTTAAATTAGATAAAGGGGTGCCTGGGTGGCTCGGTCAGTTAAGTGGTTAAGCGTCTGACTCTTGATCTCAGCTCAGGTTTTGATCTCAGGGTTACGAGTTCAAGCCCCACACTTAGATACAAATTAGATACAAAATCAGTGGAAAGGAGAGATGCATTTTCTTCCCTACCCAATAGGTACTCTGGCTTGCCCAATTTCAAATCAAGAACTTTCAGGATTATTTTTCCTTAGACACTAATTACCCAGAGTGGTGTCACTGGAGAATTTTTTCCAAGTATTAAAATAATGCCAGCTCAGCAAAAAACCCAACTTAGACGTAAGAATGTCTGGTACCACGGTCTCCCTTGCTAGACTGTAAGCTAGTATTTTTGTGTTCCCATAGTGATTAACACAAAGCATGTGACCTTTTTATGAATCGAGGAATAAATAAGGAAAATAACCCACCAAAACTATCTAGACTAAGTTACCACCAAGTAACATCATTAAGGAAAGAGATCAAATCATGCTTTGGTGGCTTCTTTTGGTAACAGGTCACTTGGATTTTGGGAGGCAGTGCTGGGAATGAGCCCATTTCACTTACCTGTTGTTGCCACAGTAGTTGGCTGTGCCCCAGACAAATGGGGTGCTGGTCTGTTCCCAAAGATCTGCCAAAGAAAGAACACAGTTTGTGACACTCCTGTAAAACACCAGTTTATGCTAGTTGAATCTGTAAGGTGGGAAATAATACACCTAAGTTTAGAGAAATTTAAAGATTGATCAAGTACCCTGCTGAAGTGACACAGTAGCAGGAATTTAATTGAAGGATATAAACACAAGCAACCTAAATAATAATAAACGTGCCCAGTAACAACCAAACACAGATGGTACAACACAATTTATGGAAAAAAACAGATGTAAAGAAGTGCTTTTTCCAGTCAAGAGGGATAGGCTGTTCCACGTGTCTGCACAGTGATACGAATGTGCTTGTTTTGAGGCCCAATAACAATAATAAGGCGTTCCGAACATGGTATGTTCCTAAAAAAGAAAAATCTTCCTTCTGTCTAAAGCAAATGACTTGCGATTTAGACATTGTGAAGAAAAAGATGTAGAGACACTTCACCTTTATCCCAGTCCTCATCGCAAGGAGGGCACTGCCATGTGCTCTCAGCCAGAGTCTCTTGTCCAAGGTTCCTGGTTTGGTTGACTGCAAGATAACAAAGATTCTGATGTAAAAAGGGGACATCGTCAGGTTATTATGTTTAAAGGGGTTAGTGGCTTAAAAGGTTTCAGGGTAGCCTAATAGGTCTTTGTTTCTGAAAAACAGATGCTACGAAAGCTAAGCAGAGGTCTTATCCCCTTGCAGAAGAAAAAGAAGCTGAAACAAAGATTGTTTGTCTTTGTTTATGACAATAAAAGGATTTTTATTTTTACATTAATTACTGGTAAGATGGATCAGGTTGTTCAAAAGAGAAAGCAGTCCGATAAACACAGCCTGACAACCTTTTATTGATGAGATAAAATACTCAAGGGCAGAAAGGTACTATTCTGAAATGATGAAAGCCAAAAATCAAGAAATCAAGGTGACAACGGAGCATAATACAAATCTGAAGGGGCTAACCTCTAGGACTGAAACCTTTTAGCTAGTCTTACCAACATCCTGCTCAATACAACTTTTATCGTCACAGCTTGAGATATGATGACTGATTTCGGCCCGAGGAACCTGGTGGCGAGCATTGAAGGGACAAGTAGCCAATTTGTTTGCGACATCAGGATGATTCTGTGGAACAAAAATTAAAAGGTCTATCAATTCTCTGATTCTCTTATAGAATAAGCTTAGCCTTATTCTATAAATGACTCCCCTAAAATCTCTCAATAAACTTGTGGCTTAACTATGGTAGGTAAACTCATGGTAGAAAATTAAGAGGGAATGAATTATTTCTCCTCACACAGACTGTACAGATGACCTCAAACTCATCAAAATGTAAGCTGCTTTCTTATGCTCATAGAGACGGGCAACACCGATACTGGGTTTACAGTGGTTTACAGGGGAGTAAACAGTGGATTGAGGATTGGGTATTTGAACCATATTTCCCAGGGTCCCAAGACTGGCAGCACAGCCTGTCGTGGTGGAGCTCTCTGGATGTCTCCGAAGGGGGATATTCAGGGAACAGTACCACGAAGACATACTCTTAGCCTGCACTGCGGTAGCGCGCCTGCTATTGCCACGCAGTAGTGCTGGAAAAGAGCGGTGGGCAGGGAGCCGCAGAAGAACCCGACCAGTGAGTTTCAGATTAACACAGGAATGCTTATTTCAAGTGACGATGCCTGAAATGAGGCTGTGAACAACTGGGCCTTCATTTCAGCTATTTCACTAAGGAAAAGCCCAAATGTGAGAGTCTGCTCTGCGGATCAAGGTCTCTGTTTTAAAACAAAACAAAAAAACCAAAGGGTTTATTGTATATCAAATCCTAGAGTAAGCTACCAGGAATTAAGAAGCTGATTTATTAGAAGCAAAACATTGATCACAAATAATATTCAAAAAAGTAAAAATAATGTGAAGTGGAAGGACGCTAAGAAAAAATAGAGGATGAAGAAAATTATGAGGGCAGTTATCTTCATGATTTTCGTAAGGGATACTGAGCATTCCAATGCAAAGATTTTTGTGGTCAAAGATGAAGAGCATTAGAAGAGGGGAATTAAAGGGGTGCCTGGGTGGCTCAGTTGGTTAAACGTCTGACTCTTGATTTCAGCTCAGGTCATGATCTCAGGGTCATGAGATGGAGCCTTGGGTTGGGCTCTGACCTGGGCATGGAGACTGCTCAAGATTATCTCTCTCTCTCTCTCTCCCTCTCCCTCTGCCCCACACTCCTCCCCGAATGCACGGGCTTTCTCACTCTCTTAAAAAAAAAAAAAAAAAAAAAGGGGAGTTAAAGACAATGTGTCTTTTTATTGCTTAGTTTCCTTTCCCAACCTTTATCCTTAGGGACATGTTTGCAATCCTAGGGAAGCAAGTCGTGGTGGTATCTGCTGGTCCACATTATCCAGGTTCAACTTTAAGGGATCTTTGCTCTAGAGATTTAAAAGAGCTGCAGAAATGATCAACAAAGGCATGATAATCATGTCATGAGGACTGCAAGAGAAACACCCTTTAAAGGATGTTAATGCATACATGAATTGTATGCAGTTTGGATTAAATACCAAAAATGCTGTCTAAGCATAAATCCTGCAGACCTTTGGCCTTTGTTTTTTTTTTTTTTAATTTTTTTTTTTTTTTTTTGATTTTATTTATTTGACAGAGAGAGACACAGCGAGAGAGGGAACACAAGCAGGGGGAGTGGGAGAGGGAGAAGCAGGCTTCCCGCTGAGCGGGGAGCCCGATGCGATGCGGGGCTCGATCCCAGGACCGATGTGATGCGGGGCTCGATCCCAGGACCCTGAGATCATGACCTGAGCCGAAGGCAGACGCTTAACGACTGAGCCACCCAGGCGCCCCGACCTTTGGCCTTTGTATCCGACATCTGTATTCTAACAATCCTTTCCAAGTGCCTCAATTAGTATGCCAGCATTAAAGTAGTTTATATCTAAGACTACAAAAGAGTGACCAGAGAAAAAAACTCAAACTCTGATTAGTTGTCCCCCACCAAAAGATGCTTCAACCAAAGACTGAAACTTGGAGAAACTGTTATTTTTAGGAATAATCTTTTCTTAGGCTAACCTCTAGCTGTTCAACTTCTCTAAAATTTCCAAACAAAAAGAAATCAGAATTAAGTGTATTATGGCACTCAATCCTTATCAGGACAATGAACACATCAAATTCACAAGGCAAGAGGGATTTCTCATTGCTAGCAAAAATTAGTTTTTCCTCTGTTTTATGAAGTGTGAGAAGAGTATATAGAGGGCGCTTTGTCACTAGTTAGGGAGAAAAAAAAACAAAAACAAGAAAAAGCTATGTACTCAAGAAATAAACTCCTTTCTGTAAATGTTGGTATTTAACACAAAAGCAGATTACTAAAACAAGTCCGGCATTAAATTAAAACATTTTTGCTAAAATTATATGATATTCACAAAATTTGGCTTTTTAAAGGAACTCAAGAGGTCATTACAAGGCAAATTATGAAAATAATGCCTTACCTTTCTGCACTTGATAAGATGATAAGGAAACCTGCAGGCCCTGATTTGGTGGTTTTTATCATAGGGGCATTGTAATAGCTTTTCAGGGTCCAGGGAATCGACTGAAAGAGAGAAGAGTAGGATAAACATAAAGCTTAAGCTTTAAACCTTTGTAAAACTACAGTATTCCAGGCACACTGGATTTTTAAACAGAATCTATAAGAATAGAACATGACAGTCTAACAACAACTTGGAATTAAAAAAAAAAAGGGTGACTAAACATTTAAACATGAAAATGTAACTCCGGGAAGATAAAACTGTATTACCACCAAATCTTTGTAAGTACAGCAAAACAAGCTGTCATGGGATAGGATCTTAGTTCATATCTGGTTGTACATAAATTTGTTTTATACTAAGGGCAACCAACAATGAAAACAACAATAAAGTTAAATGAAATGATACCCTTTTTTCCCTTCTAGACGTGCTAATTCAGGGTCATTTTTATATCTAGCTAGCCTAAGCAAAGCCTCTTAACCAGTATGCTAAAGTTAGAATGGATGGTGTGCCAATATACCAGTGTGGGGTACCTCTGCACATGCTCCCCCATCCCCTACCAGTCACTTCTAGGGCAAGTTGAGGGCAGTTACTCCCCTTTGCCAGCATTCTTGCCTATTGACTAGTATGTTATGGCATGAAAAAAGTTCATAAGGACTGCTCTAGATCAGTTATAAGCTCTATGGAAGCTTGATAGGTGATTTCTTTTTCATCTGTCTGCTTGGATTTACTACTATAAGTAGTTCCTAATCTTGGTTACTCTAGATACCTCTCAAAAGAAACCAATACCTTTATCAGATAGGTGGTTTTACTTTTCATAGTTTGGCACACAGATGAGAAAAAAATCAGAGAATTCTTTAATCTAGTGATTATCAAATTGGGCAGATAAAAAAAATAATCTGCAAAAACAGAACGTCCTAAATTTAAGACAACTGCAGACATATGGAGCTCCTCTGTGAAAGAAAGCCCCTAACCTAGACCATGCTATTTAAAACTTCTCTTAGAAGACTATATTTTCAGGCGCCTGGGTGGCTCAGTTGGTTAAGCGACTGCCTTCGGCTCAGGTCATGATCCCAGAGTCCTGGGATAGAGTCCCACATCGGGCTCCCCCCGCTCTGTGGGGAGCCTGCTTCTCCCCTTCCCTCTGTCTGCCACTCTCCCTGCTTGTGCTCTCTGTCAAATTAAAAAAAAAAAAAAAAAAAAAAAAAGACTATACTTTCAGGAATCATCTCTACATAGTTACTTAAGAAGTTTCTCTAAATGTGTAAAGCTACCCGTAGGCTTTACAAATTTTAGCAAGCTTGATTAATGAAGGGAAATTAAAAGGGTTAAGCACATTCTGAGTGTATTAGGAGGAGGACAAGAGGCAACCTAATAAAATGCTGTTACCATCATTGAAGGCAATGATAAAAGTGAAATAAGATAAACAATTCACATTTGATAAGGAGCTTATAAACCAGGAGACTGCTATGAAAATCAGAAGCCAGGGGCGCCTGGGTGGCTCAGTTGGTTAAGCGACTGCCTTCGGCTCAGGTCATGGTCCCAGGGTCCTGGGATCGAGTCCCATATCGGGCTCTCCTCTCTGCGGGAAGCCTGCTTCTCCCTCTCCCACTCCCCCTGCTTGTGTTCCCTCTCTCGCTGTGTCTCTCTCTGTCAAATAAATAAATAAAATCTTTAAAAAAAAAAAAATCAGAAGCCAGTGGGGAATTGAAACAGACAGTTTCACTGGAAGAGTGGTAAACATGCAAAAAATTGCTAACCATGATCGTGATGCAAATGAGCCAGAAAGGTGACTTGAAGGACAGAATGAATAGGAAGGAAAAGTCTTAGAGGACAGGCAAGTTTATTGGACCAGGCTCATCCTGACCAGCAATCTTTTCATATTTCTGAAGCTTCAGGACACCCAGGGAGAGTTTACAGATAAAATTCTTATTAGTTTCCCTTCATTTAATCCATTCCATCATGAGCAAATGTTAGGTCATGTCAGCAGCTGACAGACTAGACATACCTTATGATTCATACACATTATACTGCCTATACAGTGACATATATCAGAGTTGATAATGACGACTTCCTATCACAATGGTTTTACTTCCTGGCCTCTGGTAACTTAGGTTAGCTCTAAACTGGTTTTCCAGATTTAAAAAATTTTATTTTACTTTTAATTAAAAAAATTTTAATGGTGATAAAAATATGTAACATAAAATTTACCACCTTAACCAATTTTAAGTGTATAATTAGGTAGTGTTAAATATATTCACACTGTTATGCAACCAGTTTCCAGAATTTTTCATCTTGCAAAACTGAAACTCGATACCCATTAAGCAATAATTCCCTATTCTCTCCTCTTCCCAATCCCTGGCAACCACTAATTCTACTTTTTGTTTCTATGAGTCTATTCCAGATACTTCATATAAGTAAAATCATAGTGTATGTCTTTTTTTGGACTTATTTCATTTAGCATAATGTTCTCAAGGTTCATCCATATTGTAGCATGTGACAGGATTTCCTGTACCTATTTTGCTATTTTTTTTAAGTTTTTATTTATATTTTTTAGTAATCTCTACCCCCAATGTGGGGCTTGAGCTCATGACCCTGAGATCAAGAGTTGTATGCTCTTCCAACTGAGCCAGCCAGGTGCCCCACTTGTTTTTTCTTTTTTTTAACTTAATATATCCTGGAGCTCCTTCTATGTCAGGATATAAAAAGAATATAAAGCAAACAAACAAACAAAAAACCCCAAACCAAACCAAACCCAAACAGGAATATTTCAGTGCTGCATACGGATTTGCCATAGATTCTTTTTTTTTAAAATTATTTTATTTATTCATTTGAAAGGGAGAGAGACAGAGAGAGCACGAGCAGGGGGGAGAGGCAGAGGCAGAGAGAGAAACAGGCTCCCCGCGGAGCCGGGAGCCTGACGCGGGCCTGATCCCAGGACCCGGAGATCATGAACCGAGCCGAAGGCAGACGTTCAACCATCTGAGCCACCCAGGTGCCCCATAGATTCTTTTTTTTTTTTTTTAAGATTTTTAAAAAAAATTTATTCATTTGAGACACAGAGATACAGAGAGAGAGAGCATGAGCAGGGGGAGAAGCAGGGAGCCCGATGTGGGGCTCGATCCCAGGGGGGATCATGACCTGAGCTGAAGGCAGACGCTTAACCATCTGCGCCACCCAGACACCCCTGCCATAGATTCTTAATCATTTCTCTTACTGATGGACATTTAGGTCATTTCCAGTTTTTTATTATTATATAAAATGCTGTGACTAACAATCTGGTATATACTTCTTTGTGTACGAGGAGTATTTCACTTGGGCAGATACCTAAGAGTGCTGCATTGAAGTATATGTGCATTTAAAGTAACAAATACTTTATACTTGTAATAAATACTATCAAACTGCTCATCAAAAATTTTATCTGGCTTTTTGGCAATATAACTTAATTTGGAAAACAGAGTAGGCCCTGTGGACAAGCTCTCTCCAAAAGCATAGACTCAGATGTTTTTTTTTTTAAACTATTTTTTAAAAATTATTATGTTATGTTAATCACAATACATTACATCATTAGTTTTTGATGTAGTGTTCCATGATTCATTGTTTGTGCATAACACCCAGTGCTCCATGCAGAATGTGCCCTCTTTAATACCCATCACCGGGCTAACCCATCCCCCACCCCCCTCCCCTCTAGAACCCTCAGTTTGTTTCTCAGAGTCCATAGTCTCTCATGGTTCGTCTCCCCCTCCGATTTCCCTCCCTTCATTCTTCCCTTCCTGCTATCTTTTTTTTTTTTTCAACATATAATGTATTATTTGTTTCAGAGATACAGGTCTGTGATTCAACAGTCTTACACAATTCACAGCACTCACCATAGCACATACCCTCCCCCATGTCTATCACCCAGCCACCCCATCCATCCCACCCCCCACCACTCCAGCAAACCTCAGTTTGTTTCCTGAGATTAAGAATTCCTCACATCAGTGAGGTCATATGATACATGTCTTTCTCTGATTGACTTATTTTGCTTAGCATAATACCCAGATGTTTCTCACTCCTGGGTAGGGGCCTGAAACCCACGGTGAGAAATGGAGGAAACTTCATAGAAATAGGGAACTAGACTTGACAAAAGTATCATCAGTTAAGAGGTACAGCCCCAAACAGAAGCTGGAGATCTTTAGATTAGATTAAGGTTATAGTTTAAGGTCAATTTGGGAAGAAGGTCAAGTATATCCTAAGGCAGTGTTAAGTTACTTGGGGTCCGTGCTAAAATGCAGATTCTGATTCAATAGGTCTGGGATGGGGCCCAGAGATTGTGCATTTCTAACAACTCCCAGGTGATATTTTTCTAAGAAAAAAATTATGGCTGAAAAAAGTAAAGAATGAGAGACATAAAGGGGAGCTGTTGCTTTCTAATTTAATAGAGAGTAGTAAGCTTCCAAGAATAAATATAAATCTACCTATCTCACACATGGAATTCCAGGTTTACATTAAAATATCTTTTTAAAAAATATTTTATTTATTTATTTGAGAGAGAGAGAGCACACAAGAGGGGCAGACAGAGAGGGAGAAGCAGGCTCCCCAACAAGCAGAGAGCCCAACGTGGGGCTCAATCCCAGGGGATCCTTGGGGATCATGACCTGAGCTGAAGGCAGACACCAAACCAACTGAGCCACCCAGGCACTCCTACATTAAAATATCTTTAAAAAAATTAAGGAGGTAGGGGAGAGAACCCTAAGGAAGACCAAGGAGAATCAGTCTTCTAGATCAATGATTCTCAAAGTGTGGTCCTCAGATCAGCAGCCTCAACTGAGAACATATTAGAACTGCAAATTCTTGGGTCCCAGACCTTCTGAATCAGAAAGTCTGGGGGTAAACAACAACGACAAAACACACAAAAAAAACCCCAAACCAAACAAACAAAAAGAAATTCTGGGGTAAGTCCAGCAACCTGAGTTTTAACGAGCTCCCTGGGTGATCTTGCTGCATGCTCAAGTTTGAGAACCTCTGATATAGATATTTAATGAAGACTATTTCCATGTAGTTTCTATATATCGATGATTAAGATTCTATTGGACCCTTCCTTGAAGGTAGAATGGGACTAAAAAATATCCTTTAGTTGGAACTTATTAACTCCAAAGAGACTCTGAACAATACAGCAAAGTAAGAAACAAAGTAGGCCCTGTTGACAAGTTTCATCCACTCATTGATGCAGATGTTCCTTAAACTTGGTCAGGGCTTAGAAACCATAGTGCCTTATGGTATCAAGTGTGGCATTACATATGAACAACATATGACTCTGTCTCTAACTATGTAACCTTGGGCAAATCGTTAATTTAGGTTCTATTTTCTCCCATGTAAAATCCAAACATTAAATGAAATGATTTTTGGGGTCTCTTTTGTTTCTACATTTGTATGATTCTAGATGCTAGCTCCCTTCTGACTTCTTGGGCCATCTAAGGTTCCTGGATCACTTGAGAAATAAGAATTCTTCCCAGGATTTCTTTAACCCCAAGAACTCAATGTGTATCAGCATTATTATGAATATCATATTGTCTCTCAAAATAGAAAACAGAGGTTACTATCCCCTTGTCCTTAATAGGAGAAACTGAAGCCCTCCAAAATTATGTTTCATTTAATAAAAATATAGTTTAACACAGATGTCCCAACTGTAGCCTTTCCAAAGCTTGATAATTTCAAGTGTCTTATTTCAAATTTGGGAACTTCTCTACTACCACACAGACATCCTCAGCAGTTGAGGGAGAAATGTGAATCTTTCCCCAAACACTAAAGGTCTTGTCAGACATAAAACTATATGTAAAGAATTTAACTTATTCTCTAAAAGCAATAAGAAATACATACTGTAAGTTTCTTCCATGCTGGAAATGAAGAAGCTGAATCCAAGCGCTGAGGGGGGAAAAAAAAAGCAGTGGTTCAGTAAACAGGACTACTAATTTAAAGTGTATTCAGGTGATAAGATAGTCTACTTTAAGTGCCATTTCAACAACCTGTCACTGTTTACCATCCATTAGGGTTTGATGCTATTTAACATTAAAGGGGGCAAGTCAAGACCACAAGAGAATTACTATTTAAACTTTAGGATAAACGTAAGAAGAGGGTACTATTTTATTTATTTATTTATTTTAAAGATTTTATTTATTTATATGACAGAGAGAGACACAGCTAGAGAGGGAACACAAGCAGGGGGAGTGGGAGAGGCAGAAGCAGGTTTCCCGCGGAGCAGGGAGCCCGATGCAGGGCTCGATCCCAGGACCCTGGGACCATGACCTGAGCCGAAGGCAGACGCCCAACGACTGAGCCACCCAGGTGCCCCAAATAGGGTACTATTTTAAAACTCTCCTCTCAAGTTCTTAAAAATACAGGATGGGCAGGCTGCCAGTCTTGCTCTCCCCTGGGACCTGGGAATGCTGAAAGTCTAGGTCCACCAGTATGCACTTAATCCATCCCATAAGCCCAGAGACATTCTAGCTTACTATTTTTTTTTAAAAAAGATTTATTTATTTGAGAGAGAGCGAGAGCATGAGCAGGGGGGAGGAGGCAGAGGGAGAGGGAGAAGCAGACTCCCCGCTGAGCAGGGAGCGTGATACAGGGCCCCATCCCAGGACTCTTAGATCATAACCTGGGTCGAAGGCAGTCGCCTGACTGAGCCACCCAGGCGCCCCTAGCTTACTATTTCTATGACTTTTCTAAACGTGATCAGGAAGCGTCACACCTACTGCAGTGATGCTTCACCTCCCCTCTCCTCCACCAATCCCCTATACTAAAATGGATAGACTTGGTTAAGTTTCTCTAGTTAGTACTCACTCCCTCTAAGCACTGAGGGAAAACTTCTGAGTGTTAGGATTTAAGAAATATCCATTTTATGGATAACACAGTAATAAAAGAACAAGTCTAACAGAAATGTGGAAGATTAAGACAAGAAATGATTCTGTAGTTTGAATCCTCTTCTACCAAAAATCTCCCCCTATTTAGCACTGTGATTAAATAAACTAATCATTATGGGAAAAAACTAAATTTATATAAAACCATTCTCATAGGAAACTTCTAAAAATTAGCTAGATTTACAGCTGTTGCCTCTAGAGCAAGCTCTCCTTTGGCCCTTCATACAGTTCCACACCCCTTCCCCCCATTCTATGACATAAGCAGCCTTGGAATCTATGGTAGGAAGTACAAGTGATCAGCTGAAACTCTAGTTTGGTAATTTGCTCCACAGCCCATTTGTTAATGGCATTTACTAACGAAACTGTTGTAAAAAAATATTTTTCATATCTGGATTAAGAAATTCTGAACTTCCTTTTGACAAGTTTTACTTATAGTTACTTCATACCTTTTTTTTTTTTTATAAAAAATAAGACGTTTGGAAGGAAGAACCAAGTACTATGTTCCTTGATTTTAGAGTGTTTAGAGAAACAATCAGCGCCAGATTCAGCAACTTATGGAAAGCCACCCTAAACTCTGGGGGCACAAAGACTAATTACAGTAAATTTAGAACAGTGGAATCCATAGCTTCATCATTCAGCCGTGTCCACTGAAGTCTCCTCCGTACCCAACTGTTAACAGGCGATTCTTTACCTTTTCCCTAGTACTAGACCGCGGTGAAACGGACAAATTACGCGAAACAGTCAAGTTTGGGGGCTGGATGTAGGCTGAAGCAACTGGTTAAACTCTTAACAGAGCTGGGGTCTCAGTAAAACAATCGTTTTTCTTTAAACAAAACAATCAGAGTAGATTTAAGCGATGGGACTGAACAGGAGAAGGTGGGGAAGGTGGTTAACTTAAAACAACGTAGACAAAGGAGGTAGGGAGGCCCTCGAGGGGACACACGGTGGCGGGACTACGCGTAGCCAAAAGAGCAGCACTGAGAACCCACAAGGCCCAAGGCTACGGGCAGGCGGAAACGGGAAGACATTAGATGGTGAAAGTATCCCAGGACACTAAAGGTGAGTTTTTTGCGGAGGCCCCAAGCCAGACGAGGACGCCTTCCCTACCTCGGTCGAGACACGTTCCCACAGCCGCCTTCTCCCCACACCCGCGCCGCAGCAACGCTCACTTCCGCCCCTGACGTTAGGGGGTGGGGCCTCCACTTCCTGTGACGCTGGTCGCGGCTCCGCAGGAGTGTGTCTTCCTTGCGCCAGGCCTGCCAGGCCTCCCCGGCCGCCGCGCGCTGGCCACTTGTCACTCTTCAGGCTCCCCGTCCTCGGGCCATTGTCGTCTTTCAGCCCATTCTCGTCGGGTCTCCAGAACGATAGTGGCCTTGCGGGGGTGAAACTGTGGGTGGAACTCGCACTGCCTTCCCTGCGCCTTGTGGCGGCCATCTTAGGAAAGAGAATGAGTATTGAGATATGGGCCCTGGGCGGGGGAATGGGACTGGCTCGGGTGGGCTGCAGGCTGCAAGGAAGCCTTTGTGGAAGTTGTCCAGCCAGAAGTGTAGTTTGGATTCTGAGGGAACGGAAGAGGAAAAGAGTAAAGGAGATAAGTCTGTAGAAGGGCCAAAACAAAACACCGAGGGGAATCTAGTTTTTGTTCAGCAAGCATTGTAGAATCTTAAAATTCAAACGTCAGTTATAGTACGTGAGGATGCTTGGTAGGAAGGATGCCCTAGTTGGATTAAACGGAGTCTTAGAGTTGAGGTGAGAGCTCAATGCTCAATAAAAAGAGTTGGAGACGTAAATAGGGCCAGAAAGTTGTAACTTGATAAATGGAAACCCAAATATAGATTGTGAGCCTCGTTCTGGAAACTGTCACACACACACTACGTGCAAGCAGTAGTTCTTGTCCCTGAGGTGCTTAGAAAAATAGGCCTGAAGTGGATGAAAGGTAAAATGGCAGTCTAACATGCCAAAAATATGGTCATGACTGGAAATTTACATTAGGAAGAAATCACTGGAGCCCAATGTGACCTGGGAAGGATTTATGGAAAAAAGGGACTGTGGCTTTTGAAGGTTAGACAGAAAAAAAGGAAGGTGTTGATACTACAGGTGGATCTGGTGATACTACTTTCAAAACCAAGAAATAAAAATATGCTATGACAAAAATTTTTGTACTGTCCAGGTGTAGGGGGCAGTATGGGAGATTAGTCTGAGTGCTCAATTATTGGGACTTTTGGAGCATTTCAGTGGTTTATAGATCCTAAATGACTTAGGAGAACTTATCCAGATAGCAAGAATTGAATGTGACTTTAGTGAAAAGGATCATGGAGATGGGACATTTTATTTTTATGAGACTACTTAGTAAACATAGATTGTTACCTGATTTTTTTTTTTTAAAGATTTTATTTATTTGAGAGAGTGCATATGCAAGAGCATGGCGGGGGGGGTGGTGGAGAGGCAGAGGTAGAGGAGAAGCAGACTCCACTGAGCAGGGAGCCAGCCTTGCTGTGGGGCTCTGCTGGGTTCCAAGATCGTGGGATCATGACCTGAGCCAAAGACAGACGCAAAACAGACTGAGGCACCCTTACCTAGTTTTTGTTTTGTTTTGTTTTTTTAAAGATTATCAGCCCTTGGGCTGAGGAGAGTGTGACTCATAGTCTTTGGCTCATATTAAGACCCTAAAAAGAAATGTTGTTAGATGCCCCACCCAAGCCTTTCTTGTAGGCTAGTGGTTTTTTTTTTTTTTTTTTAAGATTTTATTTATTTGAGAGAGAGAATGAGAGACAGAGAGCATGAGAGGGAGGAGGGTCAGAGGGAGAAGCAGACTCCCCACTGAGCAGGGAACCCGATGCGGGACTCGATCCCGGGACTCCAGGATCATGACCTGAGCCGAAGGCAGTCGCTCAACCAACTGAGCCACCCAGGCGCCCTAGACTAGTGGTTTTTAATCTTGTCTGTACATTAGAATCATCTGGGGAGCTTTTAAGACATACTATGCCAAGTTCTCTTTCCAGACCAATTAATCAGAAAGGGCTGGGCATGGTTATTTTTAAAAAACTACCCAGATGATTCTAATATGAAGTCAGGGCTGAGAACCACTGACCTAGGCACTGTTTTGAATTTAGGAAATCTATTCTTTCACCTGAGTGGCCTGGATAATTCCTATGAAGGAGGAGCAAGCTGTTAAAGTGCTTCTTGAAAGATAATAGCTAAGAATGAAAGCTTCATTGCAAGCTTAGCACAAAACATTTTAGAGAAAGCTGCTGTTTTGGTAAATCAGTTTCAGATCATTAGGAATATCTTAAAGTAACCTTTCTGAAATTCTAAACCTCTGAATTTATCACATTCATGCAGATCGGTGCGGCCAATGTGATTTGAAGTGAAATGTGATTTTTCAGGCTTTAAATTGCAGTAAGCTGGTGAAATTGTTGACAGTTACTGTGACCCATAAGTACTTTTCAGATACCTGCAGACAAATTTCTGAGGAAGAGCTAGGGCTTGAGAGGATGGAGGGGGTGGGTACAAAACCAGAACCCAAGTCAGGCTTCACTGCATTCAGTAATGCCTTGTCAGGGTGACAGGATCCTCAGCTGAGAAGGCTGTTCCATTTAGCACGAGTGAACAAGCCCACCAACTTTTATTTTTTAAAGAGTTTATTTATTTATTTGAGAGAGAGAGCATGAGCAGAGGGACGGGCAGAGGGAGAGGGACCAGCAGACTCAGGGAGTCTGACACAGGGCCCCATCCCAGGGTCCTGGGATCATGACATGAGCCAAAGGCAGATGCTTAACTGACTGAGCCACCCAGGCACCCCATGTCCACCAACTTTTAAATAAATAAACAACCCCAAACTGTCTTTCAGTGGAGGTTTTAAAATAAAAATGCACCACACATCTTTTCTTTCTATTCTTAAATGCTTTGTTCATTCATCTCCAACCCAGAAAGTTCCTGGTTTATCTATGATCCCTGCTGAGCTTTCTTTCAGCCTGGCTTTTCAGCCAGGTTGAATATATTTGAAAAGGGAAAAAACAATGAGAGACCAAGGCATTTATAAAGAGTCAGTCTAGGAGCTAGCCAGGATTAATACCCTAAACTGAATCTGATCCTTGCTGGTTCTATCTGAAGATATGCTAGCATTTATCCCTAAATTATAGATTATATTTTTGAATTAATAATTTTAAGTTAAAAACAGAGACTCTGGACTAATGAGTAAAAAGACCAGTGCCCAAGGGATTAAAAAAAATCTTCAAAAAAAAAAAGATTTCTTTGAGAGAGAGAGAGTGTGGGGAGGGGCAGAGGGAGAGAATCTTCAAGCAGAGTCCCTGCTGACCCATGAAATCATGACCTGAGCCAAAACCAAGAGTCTGGTACTTAACCAACTGAGCCCCCAGGTGTCCCCAGCCCCCCCCCCCCCCCGGCCCAGATCTTTGTTAGAAAATGAGTTTTCCCAGCTTTTAGGATAGAAGGAATTCCAGTAGTCCTTGAGATTCCTTAGGGATTTTCAGTGTTTTAGATAGCCAATAAAACTTAAGCTTAGCTCACCAGAAGACTAAAATATTAAATTTCTTTATTTCTGGCTTGAATGTTATCAACAAAGTTCTGATTCTCTCATCTAATTATAAATTCTGATTGGTAGTTAAGTGCATAATTAAAAATAGGAAAATTGGGGGCACCTGGGTGGCTCAGTTGTTAAGTGTCTGCCATCGGCTCAGGTCATGATCCCGGGGTCCTGGGTTTGAGCCCCACATCAGGCTCCCTGCTCAGCGGGAAGCCTGCTTCTCCCTTTCCCACTGCCCCTGCTTGTGTTCCCTCTCTCGCTGTGTCTCTGTCAAATAAATAAAATCTAAAGGAAAAAAAGGAAAATTATTCAATAAACACAGTTGTAAAATATTTCAAAATGAAAGATCTAGGGCATCATAATGGGTAGCGTTACTGATGAAAATAGATTGGGAAGTATTGCTTTAGAGGAGGGTGAAAAGTTGATACTGGTTACAATTTTTCAAGCAAAGCAGCAGGGAGAGGTGCTGCCTTCAGGGAGCCAAAGAAAATAAATTTATGTTTAAAAAAGAGTCCCTATTGGGAGTTTGGAATGAATAGCCAACATTTAGCTCTAGAAACACAAAATAATACAGGATGAATGAAAAAACTAAGTGATTTTTAAAAATTTATACTTTAAAAAAGATTAAAAATTTATACTTAAAATTATTTCTGTCTCTTAATATGTACATGTTATGTACCTGGGTAATCCAAGTCACCTGTTACAGTTACCAGTGGGCTTGAGAAATCTGTTCTCTGTGTTTTTCCTTAACTTCTAGCTAGTTCCTTTTTCCAGGAGTCAACAACAAATAGCCCCTCACTCTCTGGTGCTGGTATCTAAAATGTAAATTGTTAAGTCAAAGTTTTCAAATCATTGTTAGTATCACGTTGGCAAGGCTTTATGAACAAATAGGTGAGGAAATGGAACTTCCTGAAAGAAGGTTGTTGAAAAGATGGTACAATGGCAGAATTATACTAAAGAAATTATACCTACTAAAAATTATGCAAAGGACTAGTCTTGCAGAGAACACTTATAAAATTATAAAACTGCCATTCTTAAAAAATGTCAAGGGGTGCCTGTGTGGCTCAGTTGGTTAGGCCTCTATTTTTTTTTTTAAGATTTTATTTATTAGGGCACCTGGGTGGCTCAGTCGTTTGGCTCAGGTCATGATCCCAGGGTCCTGGGATTGAGCCTCGCATCGGGTGCTGCTCGGCAGGAAGCCTGCCTCTCCCTCTCCCACTCCCCCTGCTTGTGTTCCCTCTCTTGCCGTGTCTCTCTCTGCCAAATAAATATTTGGCAGAGAGAGAGCAGGAGAGCGGCAGAGGGAGAGGAGAAACAGGCCCCCGGCTGAGCATGGAGCCCGATGCAGGGCCCAATCCCAGGACCCTGGGATTATGACCTGAGTCCAAGGCAGTCGCTTAACCAACTGAGCCACCTAGGCACCCCAAGCCTCTGATTCTTGATCTCAGCTCAGGTCTTGATCTCAGGGTGATGAATTCAAGCCCGCTTTGGGCTCCACACTGGGCATGGAGCCTACTTAAAAAAGAGAAAACAACAACAACAGCAACAAAACAAAAACAGGGGGGCGGAGCAAGATGGTGGAGGAGTAGGAGACCCGGATTTTGTCTCCTCTCAGGAATTCAGCTGGATAGGGATCAAACCATTCTGAACACCTACGAACTCAACAGGG